TGAGGAACCACAAAATGAGAGGTGAACAAGCAAGCCCCAGGGGCAGCTAGGTGATGATGGATAGAACACCTGTCCTGAAGTCAGGAGCACCAGTTCAAATCTGGCCTCAGACCAAACACTTGACACTGGCTGTGTGACCCTGGGCAAGTCACTTCACCCCAATTGCCTAAAAACAAAACAAAACAAAACAAACAAAAAAACAAGGAAGCCCCACCCAGCCCTCAGAAATAAAAAGCCTGAGGTGGATTATGGTCAGTGCCATGTCTAGGGTATGCTGCAGGGGTTCATCTGGGATTTATTATGGCACCTTTCACACTGACTGAGACCTACTGGAAAGGATTTATTAAATAATTTCCCAGGAATCTACAAGAGAAATAAAATGTTGGAATTTTTTGAAGTTTTTCTCTATAAGACAAACCAGTTTATTTTATATTATTTAATACTTAGTTACTTATATCTTTTGACTTATTAACCTATTAAGTATGAAGGCTAATATCAGTAATAATGATATAGTTTGTCTAGAGTACTGGCACTTAGCAATGCAGATAGTCCTCTCTCAAAGGAATACCACCTAACCTAAGAAACAAAGACATTAAAGATATTTACAAGATGCTATTAAAAATGCAAAGAAAAGTGAATTGTTAAGTAGGAGGTATGAAGAGAAAGATAAAATCTTTTCTATATTCTTTAAATTATCTGAGAATGTGAACCCTTGTAAAATTCTTCATAAGACAGGGGGTGGTTTCAATATTGCAATAGCTTACTGGCAGGTCTGCCTGCCTCAAGTCTCCCTATTCCAATCCATCCTCCATTCAGCTAGTAAAGTGATTTTCCTAAAGCCCAGGTCTTACTGTCACCTCCCTACCTTCCCCTATTCAATAAATTCCAGTGGCTCCCTATCACTACCAGGATCAAATACAAAATTCATTGTTTGGAGTTCTAAGCCCTTTATAACCTAGTCCCCTCCTACCTTTCCAGTCTTCTTACACCTTACCCCCTGTCACCTACTCTTTGATCCAGTGGTACTGGCCTCCTGGCTGTTTCATAAACAAGACATCCCATCTCTTTGCTCTCAGCATTTTCTCTGGCTGTCCCCCATGCCTAGAGTGTTTTCCCTTCTCATCTCTAACTTCCTTGGCCTCCTTCAAGTCCCAGTTAAAACCTCATCTTTTGCAGGAAGCCTTTCTCAACCCCTCTTAATTCCAGTGCCTTTCCTCTCATTTCCTATTTATCCTATATATGTTTGTACATATTTGCTTGCTGTCTCCCCCATTACAGCATGAGCTCGAGTAGGTACTATCTTTTGTCTTTTTGTATCCCCAGAGCTTAGCAGGGTGGCTAGCACATAGTAGGTGCTTAATAAATATGAATTGTATTGTATGTAACTCATCTACTGATAACATTTTATAGCCAGCTTATACCAACCATGAATCTTCCCATTTTCCTTTGAAGTATTTATATCTTTGATATCCTTCTGACATCATGGTATTGTGTGATTCATAGCCCAGAGNATAACATTTTATAGCCAGCTTATACCAACCATGAATCTTCCCATTTTCCTTTGAAGTATTTGTATCTTTGATATCCTTCTGACATCATGGTATTGTGTGATTCACAGCCCAGAGAATAATGTTTTAAAGATACTAACATTTATGAATTCTTCTATTTTCATAATGTTTTATGGTCACAAAGCACTTCAACATAAAGTAAGCAAGGAAGGTATCTCTCCATTTTACCAATGAGGAAACAGGTCCAGAGAGGTTGAGACTTGGCCAAGCTAGCAAATAGTGAAGCTGAGTCCTGAATCCATGTGTTCTGAACCCTACCTGGCCTTCATGACTCTAGATATCCCAGCTCCCATAATTGGTGATAGCAGACTGAAACTCCCCAGGGTATTTTTAAGGAGCTAATGGATATTGTTTCCCTACCCCCACCCCCAATTCCTTCAGGAGAGCTCCTCTGAAATGCTTGATAGGATCAGTAGTATGTTATACTGGAAAGAATATTGGACTTGATACCACAGAAGTCTGGCTGAGTCTTCCCTCCACTACTGATTAAGTGAATAACACTGAACAAGTTATTTAGCCTCTTAAAACTAACTTCCTCATTTGCAAAATGAGGATAATATCTGCCTTTCAGGGTTATGAGGGTAAATTCAGCAAATATGAGTTATACCCCTACTGGGCACTGAATCAGTTGTGAACAAGCTGGACTGTTCTATTCCTACTCACTTCATCTACTTCTTATAACTTCCTCTTATTGCTTCTAGTTATGCCTCTGGAGCCAAAGGCAGAACTTCTAAAACTACAAATAATTCTCCCAACAAAGTGAATTAGCCCAAGGATGAAAGATGATTTTAGTCGACAGTTGGAGAAAGACTGAGGCCAGAACTTAGATACTAGGCTTCTTTTATTATCCTTTTATTAAGGGGATTTATTCTGTGAAGTTTGGATTCAACGGACTGCACTTGGGAACCCAGAGGGCCACATGTGGCCTCAAGGCTGCAGGTTCCCCACCCCTGATCTAGGCCTTTCCCCTCATCTATAAAATGAGAGGGTTGAACTGGAGTACCTCTAAGATCCCTTAAGGCTCTAAATCCTAGGATTTTTTAGTGAATTTTATTAGCATCATGACACTATGAATTTCTAATGATGTTGCAACCTCATTCCAAAGTTCCTCCAGAGGCTGTGATTTTGAACCACAATTTGAAATCATGGCAATTAATCCAATTCAACAAATATTTATTATTATGCAAGGCATACAAGTGAAAGTGTCATTTCTAATAACCACATTCCAGGTGCAGTTGCTTTATTAGCTTCCAGTTTGCTGGTTATTTAATCCCCAGCCTGAAAAGAGCCAATGAGACCGCTAAAATGAAATTCTTAGTCATGTGTTTTTTCATTCATATTAGACATTCAAATTAGTTGCTCATAAGCCTAAATAAATCAGGCTGGGTCTAAAATCTCTTGAATTGTAGGGAAGAATTTTATTATAAGTTGAAAATTTGACCGCATGTGGGTTCTACTTTAGATTCTTTATGTTCACTCTGAATAGATTATTATGATGATGTATTGAGATTTAGGAATATTTGGCAGACTGACAATAAATTGATGGGTAGAAAGGTTGAAAATCCTTTTGTGGATGAATCGAGCTTTAGATACTTCTTAGGAAGGCCACAAGGCATTTTGAAAATTAACATTATAAAAAGTGTAGCTTCTTTTATGTAAAGGGCATGGTAATTAGAGAGCCTAGACTTCTAGATATATGTAGTCTGATTTTATTCAAGGAAATGAACATGCCTGCCCCTCCTAGCACCTGGGAGATCTGGGGAACATCTATGCCAGTGCTGATGGTAGAGTGACCTTCAGGCTAGAGGACTAGTGGCTCAAGGTGAGATGCCGAGGCAACTGATGGGGGGTGGGGGAGAACAGGACCAGCTTCTGTCCAGGCAGGGCCTGAGAGCGGCTGCCTCTGCAG